CATTCTGGAGCTTGAAGCCCAACTGCAATAGTGAGCAGACCAGGTCTTGCCAATCTGTTTCCCCAACAAATCCCCCTTCTCCGGGCTGACGGCTGCCACGGAGCATTCAGGGATTCCCAGATGTCACAAATCATCGCTGAGCCAGAGACTGCCTTTTTCCAAAGCGAGGGCAAGAGAGGGGCTTTGGTTTGGCCCCAACATTTTTGTGCCTTCAGTAAGAACGTTGTCACGGAAAAGGAGCTCGGGCTGCCCGACCGAATACATGTTGCACGAGTTCAGCTCAGGATCCTTCAGCATCTGTTGTCAATCCCCCAGAGACTCTGTCTCCTGCTGCCAGTTGCTACGCCTGCAGACATTTTACTGTTCTAGATTTAAGCTGGATTTCCAGGCAACAGCTTTTTAATTTTTTGAAGACATTTTTCCTTGAGGACAGATATCAGATTTCCTTCATGTTCCCTTCTTTCCTATCTCCTTCAAATCAGTTTCAACTTTGAAGTTGAGAAGTCCACGGTGTTGATGAATGTAGTCCGTGATGCGGGTCATACGTGACCAATACATCACTGTGACCTTCACCAGTCTTGGGAGCTTATAGACCTCTGTGGAGACAACAATTAGCTCGTATTACCAAGGCCCTGGATGCATTTCATGTCACAGTAGTTGAGAAGAGAGTGGAAAAGGCATTTTGCAGCAATATGGAAATGAAGATGTTAGCTACTGCTTCTTAGAAATATACCTCTCCTGACACTGCCCTCCCCGGCTTTGAGCCTGGAGGGCTCTATGGATTTAACTGAGCTGTGTTCACACCACTGTGGAAGGGGAAGAAGCCTCCTAGGTTTTATTGTGTGAGGGCAATCGTAGGAAGAAACAATCTGGTCGTTCTTCACTTTGCTCATGGAAATGTAAAGCCTCATGTGTAACCAACCGAGCATCCACGACCACAGTGAGAATCAGGAGTCAGAGCTGGTGCTCCATACCTGAGGAGGGGACTCCTTATCAGGGAAGGTAGTGATAGGACGAGGGGTAATGGCTTTAAATTGAAAGAGGGGAGATTTAAATTGGATACTAGAAAGAATTTCTTTACTGTGAGGCTGATGAGACCCTGGCCCAGGTTGCCCAGAGCAGCTGTGGCTGCCCCATCCCTGGAGGGGTTCAAGACCAGGCTGGAGGGGGCTTGGAGCAACCTGGTCTGGTGGGAGGTGTCCCTGCCCAGGGCAGGGGGTTGGATCTTGATCTTTAAGGTACCTTCCAACTCTAACCATTCTGTGATTCTAAGGAAGAGCCTCTGCTTCTTCTTGGTGCCCCACCACATTAGGCTGTTGTAGGTTGATGCCCTTGTCATTCCCCTCACCGGTGCCTGGGAAGGATTCAAAAAAGTCTCCCTTTTTGCCATCACTCAGAAGGAGGATGCTCATGGGCAAGAAAGGTCTTCCCCTCTTCTCACCAGGGCTCCCCTCAAAGCATGGCATTGCACGCTTCAGGATGGCGTGTCAGTAGTAGGACTTGCAGCTCCTCCTTAAAAGATAACTAGGTTTGTAAAGCCACTTTCCCCATCATTTTTCAAAGCACACCAAAGCGAGTGGGTACCAAACCAGGGTGTCCTCCAGCCAGCGAGCCCGCGCTGCCATGGAGGGCAGGGTGCTGTCACCCTCCCGGAGCGGCACGGCCGAGGGCCTCCTGACAGTGCAGTTCAGTAAGACTTTGTTAATCATGTAGGCAGTCTCCATTTAATTCAGACATCTCAGTCTCTCCATTCGGTTCCTCCCTCGGGTTTTGCAGACTCCGAGCAGACAGATTTATTGGGGTCTTAAGCATAATCAGGAACAAATTAGCCTCTGTTCGGCTCACACACTGGCCTGGATCACAGCGAGTCACAGGCTGCCTTCCCATCCATGTGAGTATGAATTAAGTCATCGGATTGGAGTAGGTCTTGAGTATTCTTTTATCCCAAACACATGATCTTATCAGGAGCCCATTACGTTTATCATCGCATTAGGAGGGAACGTTTGGAGCCAGCGCAGGAGTATGTTGCTGGATAAATGTTGTGTTTTCTTCAGTGCCGGTCACGAAAATAAGTCAGCGCTTGGGGAAGGCTGGGGGAACACTGGCCAAACACACGCGCCTAAAATCAGGCTGTGAGTTCCTGGGTGTGTGTTGGCACCGGGATGGGGGGGAGCTGTGCCAGGGGTGTGTGTAAAGAGAGCGTTGGTGTGTTGGTGTGTCAGTGTTTCCATCAGTGGGGGTGTGCAGCGGGATGCAGCTGGGTACCGGTGTTTCACTGTACGTGCACATCTGCCTGTGTGTGTGTTTGGAGACTGAAGGTTGGGTCTTTTTAATATGGTAGGTCTTTTCCCTTTCTTTTTTTTTTTTTTCCCCTTTTCCCAGAAATAAGCTTCTTTTCATAAAATGACAAGGAAACCCTTTTCCCCAAAATACCTATTTTCATATATTTGGGAGTTGTTTTTGAGGATTTTTTGATTGCTGACCACAGTCTTTCCAGAGCTGAATATTTCTCAGAGATTTCTCCTGGGACTCTCACTCAAACTGGGACGTAGTGCTCCGAGGTGGGTGAGGAGCTTTACTTCATCCCGCTGTTCTTGGGCACAGCAGAGAGTTTGCCTGCCCTTTGATACATCCCTGTAGAGCAGAACGAGGGGTGCAGGAGGGTAAGGTGGGGGAACAAAGAGCTCGTCTCCATGGCTATCACAGTTATGTGCTGGCTCTGCCCCTTCCTTGAGGTGGCAAGACATGGAGCGTGTCTGTCCCAGGATGTCATCTCCCAGGGATGGAGCGTGTCTCTCCCAGGATGTCATCTCCCAGGGATGGAGCGTGTCTCTCCCAGGAGCTGGGAGCTCCCATCTCCATGCTGGTGGAGCACTGTGCCACCAATGATAGCCCCACAGAGAAACAAGGTGCGTTACAGGGGTATCCAAACTGGGGTTCTGGGGGCTCCTACGGTTCATGAGCAGTTGAAGCACACGCTCCATTCCCAGCTGGGTCACTATCAGATGAGGAGCAGCAGGGCCTTGCTGGCAACGTGGCTGTTGGGCAATCGGGCCGTGGGAGGCCGCTGGGGCCAGCACTGCTGGGTTGCCTTAGGGCCCATCTGCACATCCACCCCAGTAATGGGACACCCCGGCTGGGAGCTCCCATCTCCACGCTGGTGGAGCACTGTGCCACCAATGATAGCCCCACAGAGAAACAAGGTGCGTTACAGGGGTATCCAAACTGGGGTTCTGGGGGCTCCTACGGTTCATGAGCAGTTGAAGCACACGTTCCATTCCCAGCTGGGTCACTATCAGATGAGGAGCAGCAGGGCCTTGCTGGCAACGTGGCTGTTGGGCAATCGGGCCGTGGGAGGCCGCTGGGGCCAGCACTGCTGGGTTGCCTTAGGGCCCATCTGCACATCCACCCCAGTAATGGGACACCCCGGGGGAGCCATTGTCATCTTCTGCCTGTGAAGCACTCTCCCGAGCGCTCCTCCTCCCAGCTCTTCGAGGTGTGTGGTATATGTTTGGTGGCTCCCAGCCAGATGAAGATTTTAAGATGTGACATGGAGGGTCAAGAAGTTTGGCCACCCCGGGAATATTCGCTGGGCTCGTACAGCTGAATGGCTTCCAGATTCATGCTGGTTCCTTCTTCCCTGCTCAGAGCACGGGCCCAGCAAACACACAGTTCCCCACACTCACCCACGTACACAAGTTGGCTGCAGAGGTCGTGATAAAATGAAACCATAATGACCTTCTTCCCTGATAGACTTCTCCATTCTTTCAAGCTCACACTCTCTTAAGGACCTGGAATTTTGCACGGGGGATTGGGAGGAAGGGAGTGGAAAAGGAGTGAAAGTCATTAAATAATTGAATTGCAATAAACTGATTTTTTTTCTGGCTCATGATGGTATTTCACTGTGTAAACTAGGAGGAAAAATAAACAGGGGATTTAGTAGTTTGGAAGTAGCTCAAAATTGAGCAGCCGTTGGATTTTCTGACACCTAGCTTGAGATAGTCCAATGCTACCGACAGGACTCTCCTCGGGGATCGTTTCCATCAGTCCAGCGAGCAGCTCTGGCTAATTTCCTACCGTTTTTTCAGCAGGCTTATTTGCCAGACAAAAATACAACAGGCTGTCAGAACTGGATACCTCTGGGGACTGGCAATGATAATACAATACAAAATAGGATACCAACAGGTCAAAGGTTTCCATTTCACGGAGTACTCTAATGACTGAAAGTCATTATTGCTATGCAGTCTGTTTGAAAAGAGTAGATGGATCTCAGTTCAGTTTTTAATGGGCCAGTGTTACAGAAACAACCTCAAAAATTTGGCATCTTTGTTGGCAGTCTCATTAGAGAAGCCACAGAATAAATGGACAAGGATAATAAAGTCTCCTGCTGCTTTTGATCCTTTCAGGTCAAGTCTGAGTCATGTTGGTGGAGGCGCTGTGTGTATGTGGGAAGCTCACCCTCGCGCTGTGTGTACTCTATCTCCTCTTTGGGTAAACAGAGCTGTTTGGCCCTTTGGTCACTACAACTGTGAACTTGGCAGTTGCCGCCATCCCGAAATTCACAGTTGCTGGTGTCGTTGTTGTTGTTTTGCAGATATCTTTTAAAAACAAAAAGGGAAACATTGTAGACCAGACCCTCTGTTGGCGTTTTTCCGACCAAGTTGGTGGAATTATGCCAACACCCACATCATCTCTCTGTGTGTTTTCTAGCTCTGCTTTCTTCTGTTTCCATCCTTTTACACAGAGGTAGATTAAAATAGGCAGAAAATCTCTTACATAAGGAAATATCTGGGGGGAGATGCCCAATACAAAAGTTGACTATTGTTGCTTGGCTTTCTTAAAATCACCTTGTTGTTGCCTAGGAGTGACCAACGCTGTCACTTCCCAGTGACCTAGTCCAGCAGATACACAACCACTGCTGCTGTCAGGTCCTGGCAACTAGATTGCAGACATGTGTAGCCAGTCCTTTGTGATTTGTCTTCTCTTCTTTCTCCTGGCAGATGAACCCAGCAGGTGCTATTTCCACGATGGTGATGGAGTCTGTGAGGAATTTGAGCAAATGACCAGCATCAAAGACTGTGGCGTTTACACTCCCAAAGGCTTCCTCGATCAGTGGGCTTCCAACGTCTCTGTTTCACATCACAGTGACCAGCAGTGTCCAGGATGGGTGGTCATTGGTCAGCCAGCAGCTACCCAGGTAAGGAGAACGTTCTGCCTTTCCTCTCTTGGAAAGCAAAGCCCAGGAGGAGCAACGTTCATGGATGTAGTGAGATGGTCAGCATTCATACATGATGTTACCCTGCCTGTTCACTCACTGCTTCACCAAGGAAGGCTCCTGACAGCAGTTTCCCTCTTTCTGAGTCTGGTTGATAGTGATGAGTTGAAATTTGGTTCCAGTCATCCAACTAAAAACTATCTGAAGAAATTCGATTCCAGTCATCCAACTAAAAACTATCTGAAGTTGTGACCTGCTTCATTCAGTAAGCTGTGTACGAGTCTCCGAGTCATCCCCTAAAAGACCAGTCAGGCTCTCTGCAGCCAGCACAGGGTACTATCTTGTGGCTATGGGTTCTGAAGGCTGATGCCTAATAATACAAAAGAGCGTTCTTTCTTTTTTAATAGTTTTGTGTTTTCAGTCTCCCAGTTTCATAAAAGCACCCTATTGTTCTATTCTGAGAAAGGTCCCGTCCATTCCCAAAGCCATTCATTAGCTTTAACCCCCTTCTTACATGTCTCCTTTGAAACATAAATAGCTCCAGTTACCATAACTTTACAATTTTGTCTCCCTGAGAGAATTAGATCCAAATGAGTTCAGAAAGGCGTTAGAGAAATTCCTGGAAATCAGAGCTGCACACGATGCAGACCCAACAGTCCAGATGCAACTCAGGAAAGCCCATATTGCTTTTCGTTGGGTTTTTAGAGGATACAGCAAGGAAAGGATCGTCGTATAGACAAGCTGCTTCATCTTGTCCTCCTTCAGCATCCACCGTTGTCCCTTGGTGGAGATAGAGCAGTGGATTAGGTGGACTTAACGGTTTGATGCAGCAAAGTTGTTGTTCTTCCAGTCTAATTATCTGGGAGGTTGGTTTGATGCAGCAAAGTTGTTCTTCCAGTCTAATTATCTGGGAGGTGTCTGGAGTGGGCAGTGCCGAGAGGAATGCCGTGTCACAGATATGACAAGCAGATTTCTCCATGAATAGTAAACGCTAAGCATTTCCAGTTGGCTTGCAAGAGAAAACATCTTTATCCAAGAGACTTGGCCTTGTTCACATTGCACAAGTCTGTAACGAATTAATGACCAGGTCAGTTTTAAATGCACAAAGCGTGGTTAGCTGGCATGGTACCAAGACAGAATCCCGAGCCCAGTATTGCCTTTTTGTCATGGTCTCATTTATTATTTCACACTGGAAAAGGAACTTTCCTCTGGACCCCTACCAGTGCCTTCGTAACTTCTTTCTCCTTCAAGCTCCCTGCACTGTAGGACAGTCCAAAGCCCAGGGTCTCCAGTTCAGGTGCTGCTTTCTGTGGATGTCCCCAAGCTCTCTGTCCCCGTGTAGCCCCCACAGAGAGCTGCCCTGATTTCCTCCTGAGGCACTGGTAGGAACAGCCACACCACGGGGAGGTACCATATGGTCCCGTGGTGGAAGAAACGCCACCACACGCGCACACAGCAGAAAGCCCTGCTGTGTAGCCACAACTCAGGCGTGTTTGTTGTACCCAGATGAGATGAAGTTGTCACAGCCTTGTTAAAGGCAAAAAAAAAAACAACAAAAAACAACCGCTGTTGTATTTATAGGCAGAGCACTAGCATATCACACACTGGCAGAGTGAATGGGAACATGCCTCCTGTTATTGCCTGGCCCCTGGGGAGATAACAGTGTGCTATTTACTTCCAGCAAAAGGAATTTTTGCTTTAGCTCAGCTGGTCCTATTACACCAGTTGGAGTGCGTGGGGTTCGTTGACCTTTTTAATCATATATGTTGAGAAAGTCTTTGTTTTCCCCAGGACCGAGACAACCTCGTCGGCTTGTGAAAGCACCTGACTTGTCACTGCAGAGAGGTTAGGTGGGGCGGCAGGTCATCAGGCTGTTAGCTAGCGGAGATGAAAATTAACCTAAGATCTCCTCTAATCACTGCGTGTAATGATCACTGGTGTGTAAACATGTTTGGCTTCATTATCTGCTCAAAGCATTGAGCCTGAGGGGGTTTTTTGTATTGATGAAAGGAGCACCTTTCCTCACCCAGATATCTTTCAGAGTAGGTTGTGTGCTTGCTGGTGTTGTGCAAACTTTTCGTGTTGTTGCTGGGTAGTTTCCTGATTAATCAGAGTGGCATTTGTGTTGGCTTCCCCTCAAGAATGCCATGAAAGATATGTTTGAGTGCAGTGCATGGCAATATACAGAATACATAAGCTGCCTGTTTGTTAGCCATCCCTGTTTCTTGTAATTGCCCCAGCGCTCTCAAGGTGCATTTTAAGCACGTCCTTCATGATTTAAGACATTTCTCATCCTTAGATGTCTCAGCACCCGTTCCCCTGCGTGACTGTCATAGTTTTGCCTCGGCAGTTTCTGAGGAGTGAGCATCACAGGTTGGTCTGTTATTGTGGTATTTCTCAGCAATATCTGCCCGTGTGCCCTTGATTACTGCTGGGGTACTGTAGATGAGCACAAGCTGGAGAACACTTTTTTATTATTGTAGGGTTGCTTCTGCAAACTGCCCATCCCACAGCAGCTCTGTTCACTCGAGGCATTGTCCGTTTCCACAGAGCTGGTTGTTCCTTAGAAGTAGGGTGCCAGCACTTGCTTCGTGTTTTGAGATGGATCTTACTTGCTGGTTCCTCCCTTGTTGGTATGAGGCTGCTGAATGGCAACATACTAAGGGAGAGGAAAAAAAAAAAAACAGTTCACAGTATAAGATTTGTTTTGAACAACAAAATGCTTACAAAGAATGACACAGTCTTGGCGAAGAGACACACATTTGAAAAATGCAAAGGTCAAACAGCACCCCCCCCTCGAAACAATCGCTCTTTCTCCAGAAGCAAGACTGATAGACAGCCACTTCTACTTTCCTGGCAGCCACTCGTCAGTGCTGATTAAGAAATATTCTCAGTACTGACAGCATCATATTTAGAGCCAAAGAGGACCAGCCAGTAACACTGCACCAGCACAGAAATGTGAGCACCGATGCAGGGTGTTTTTACGGTTTGGTTTCTGATCTGGCGTCCTCCGCGGATCTCGAAGCAGCCGCTGCTCAGTACCTGTTGTGGGCTGCAGGAGGAATTCAGCAACGTGGGCTTTGCCCCCTCTCGGGCTGCTCTTCTCCCTCCACACTCCTGCAGTGAGTTTGTAAACAGCCTCTCCTTGCCATCCACTCCGGGTGAAATATTATCAGTGTTGATGTACTGGTTGTGTGGGGTTTTCTACAGCAGTGTTTATTTCTCAGGGCCTTTCTTGTGCTAAAGATTATTGATGCTAGCATTAAGTCATCAGCTGGTGTGAGCTGGCAAAGACTACAAAAAGGCAGTAGCGCTGGGCAGATTTATACTGGCTGAAGGACAGATCCAGCAGCCATAAACAGACAGACAAAGGGGGCTTCGGCTCCTCTCTTTTCTGAATAGCTGCAATGTTTTCTGTATTGGAAGTCCCCAGGGACTTATTTCCCTGCCTGGTTTGTACTCAGCTAGGGTCAACCTCCTCCTTACCAGCAGGAGGGGGTAGGAGATGGCCTCCTGACTCAAAGTTAAGCCCACCTGGGCTTGACAAGACATGAGTTTAAAAAGCCAATTTGTGGCTTACCCGGATGATCCCCGTTGTTCTGTGACCAGTGAAGCTGCGTCAGTGAGGGCTGTTAAGCAGGAACATGCAGTGTGGGTTAGGTCACTGTAAAAACATCCCTCTGGTTGCATCCAGAGGGTAATGGTCAATGGCTCAATGTCCACATGGAGATCAGTGACAGGTGATGTCCTCAGGGGTCCATACTGGGACCACTACTGTTCGTGTCCTCAGGGGTCCGTACTGGGACCAGTACTGTTCAACTGAGCATCATCATCACATCCCTGCAGTGCAGCGCTGCTGCTCCCCCCGAGAGGCTGGGGAAGAGCTAAATTGAGCTCAGGCTCCATGTATCCCAGTGTTGGCTCAGTCAGAGCACGGCTAGTGCCCAGAGGTCTCCATAAGATGGCTTGTGTCCCTGCAGCACTGATGCTCCAGGTTTTATTTATAACCATCAGGATAGAAGCAGCCAGATGCTCCTGCTCTCTGCTGGCTCGTGGCTGATGTTACTCACACCACATCAAAAGGCCCATTGGGCTTGTCTCTCTTTGAAGATGCACATGCAAATTATCAAGCTGTTTCTTGACCTTCATTTTGGTAAGACCTGAATGATGCACACTAACCTTTCTGCTCTGTCTTTGTATATGCAAGACCTCCACTACATCCAGCTCTGGAGTCCTCAGCACAGGAAGGACATGGACCTGGGGACCACTACTGTTCAGTATCTTCATCAATGACATAGTGGGAACAAGTGCACCCTCAGCAAGTTTGCAGATGATACCAAGCTGAGTGGTGTGGTGACACACTTGTGGGACAGGATGCCACCCTGAGGGACCTGGACAGGCTTGAGAAGTGGAACCTGATGAGGTTCAACAAGGCCAAGTGTAGGGTCCTGCACCTGGGTCGGGGCAACCCCCAGTATCAATACAGGCTGGGGATGAAGGGACTGTGAGCAGCCCTGATGAGAAGGACTTGAGGGTAGTGAGGGAGGAAAAGCTGGACATTGAGCCAACGATGTGCGCTCGCAACCCAGAAAGCCAACTGCATCCTGGGCTGCATCTAAAGAAGTGTGACCAGCAGGGAGAGGGGGGGGATTCTGCCCCTCTGCTCCGCTCTGGGGAGACCCCACCTGGACCACTACATCCAGCTCTGGAGTCCTCAGCACAGGAAGGACATGGACCTGTTGGAGCGAGTGCGGAGGATGTCACAGAGATGCTCCAAGGGCTGGAGCCCCTCTGCTGGGAGGACAGGCTGAAAGAGTTGGGGGAGGGTTCAGCCTGGAGAAGAGAAGGCTCCAGGGAGAACTTTCAGAATTTAAAAGGAGCTTATAAGAAACATAGGGTCAAACATTTTAGCAGGGCCTGTTGCGATAGGGCAAGGCATAATGATGTTAAACTAAAAGAATGAAGATTTAGACTAGATATTT